ACATTCCTCCAATTCTCCTCCCCATCCCTCCGGCAGCAGGGGGAGGAAGAAGCGGGGGAGGAGTGAGCAAGTGGCTGCACGGTTCCGAATTGCCGTCTGGGCTTTGAACCATGACACCAAGGTATACTCACTTGCATATGCTCAAACCTTTGACAAACACTAAGGAACTAGTGTTTCAATGATTCTGGTTTCGCATTGTGCAATCCAAAATGTCAGTTTTCTCATACGTAGCTCACAAATCTCTATAGCAGTGTTCAATTCCAGAGCATATAAATGTGCTACCTTGTTAATACAACAAGATTAGACAACAAGATGCATCAGGCAGATAGTAATCAATAATGTGAAATAGACATGTTTATAATTTGACAATGGTTTCCTGCATTATGTTGTTTAAACCACACTATGTGATATTTTAAATCTAAAATCACAACAGCTTTTCTAGCTTGGATAAGAATATTTCGTTAGAGCTGAGAAAAATATTTGATTAGCTCTTTTGACATACTTATTCTTATACTTTTCTGTCTAGAGGAACTATCTGAACTATTGAGTCAATGGATATGGGATCCCACTCAGGTACATGTAACTAAGTCTAATAACTTGTATTAGACTACACAGACTTTTCAGAAAGCTGTTCCATCCTAATTTAAATGCATCAGAAAATGGAGAAATCAGAACTATCTTTGCTAACTTTTTCCAGTGATTAACTAGCCTTGTTACTGATAATTTGGATTTTATTGCTAATTTTAATTTATCTGGTTTAATTTCTCTACTGGTTTGTTACATTTTTCCTCAAGGAACCATTTATTTCCTAGTATTTTCTCTCTTTGAAGCAACTTATTGACTATAATCAAGTTACCTCTTAACTTTCTCTTTTGTTACCTTTACATAGGCAAATGCACATGCTTATCTTCAAAAGAAGACTGCCAAAGAGAACTCTTCAGACCGGAAATCCTGAAACTCACTGAAACTGGCATTAATAAATTCTAAAGGAATTTAAGAAAAAAAAAAATGAAAAAGAAAAGAGAGAGCAAGATCCATAACAATATTGAACAAGACTGAGACAAGGCCAAGGATAAGGAAAATCTAGTTGGGTATGATTTTCTGAAATTAGAAGCTTAGACTGGTGACTAAACATGGATTAGGGAGGTGGAATTTTAGAAATGCATCAATGCTGTAGTGAGATTAATATCTCTAAGTTGTTTGGGTGTTTCTGAAACCCCACACCCACACAAGATTAAGGCATTCATTTCTAAGACAACCTGAAGGAATGAAGAAATAGTACGATTAAATAAGAAAACACATAGTCTTCCAGTGCCCCAAATCCATCAGCTGGGAAAGATGTTTAGATATAAGAAAAAAATTCCTAACAATTTACTGGAAAATCAGGGCAATAAGCACTCTGTACGTCATATGGAAAACTAAATATTTTCTTCATGTTTTATGTAGAAAAAAAATAAACTGGTTAGAGATATTCTGGCTGTTTATATCCGGTTGGAGGAGATACCCTCAGCAATTCAGAAAGGTTGATATCCTATGTAAACTTTATCCTTCCTAGAACTGCTTAAGATGTTAAATTATTTCCTCTGCTTTCTGAATATTCCTTCCATTCTATTTTAATTTTCTGAACTATAGATGACAGTTTCTATTTTGTTGCAAAAAAATTCAGTTAAACATAAAAGTATATGCAGTCTATACTTTTACAACTCTATAATAAAACACATGATAAAACATTGACATAGGTTAGTCATGGCAAAACACCTGGGTAGTTTTTATAGATTGATAAAAACATAATGAAAATACAATTTATACTGTTAAAATATTTTAAAAATGCTAAAAGATCTTTAATTTTAAAATTCGTGAATGATAATGTTGTAAATAAGGTAAAGAGCAGTTCAGAAATTATTGGTATTTACTCATCTAAATGGAAATCTTCCCAACAATTTGATTTATAAATCAGTAAGATACATAATTTTCCTGGGTAATAAGCACCTACTGAGCAATATGGGGTTTAATAATGTTTTGCTTTACAGACTTTGAGAAGCTTGGCAGGAACAGAAGAGTTGAAAACAAAACAAAAGAAGAGAAGAAAACCCCTCTCTTAAGCCACATCTACTTTGTGGTCACTGAAGTGACTTCTATTCAGTGTAGAGGTATTTTAAATTACATAGTCAAAAAAACTGTAACTGTCTTGCTTTTGCTGCTTGGCTTAATTTAGTCCACTCTTTATTTTTGCTTCCTTGACAGAAATGTAGACATGTGGCAGAGACTCCTGGTCTGTTCCATCTTTTTATTTCTTTCTCTCCTTTTAATCCCTTCAAACTAGAAAGCTCAGGGCAAAGTCAGGCACCAAACTAAATGCAAGGTTAAAACATAACTTTTGGTGACATTTGGTGGCCTCAAGATCAATGCTGATTGATGCACACTTGTTGTGTCTGTAGTGTCTATATATATTGCATTTTAATGGCTTACATAGATACATAATACCTGTCAATATCTTTTTATTAATACAACATTTTAGTGTTGAGAAGACACTTCTGGGTATTACTAGTGGTGTAAGTGTGATATTTAGCTGATGAATTTTATCCAAGACTCTTAACATCTTGATTAAGAGAATGAATCAAAAGGTCTGGGTGAATTTTGATTTTTTTTTTCACTTAAAAATAGCTTAACTAGCAGTAGAAGATTCTGGAATCAGAATCTGTTTAGAGAGGAAAATCAGTACAATTAAAGATGAGGAAGAAACATTGTCTCTGATCTATATAAGTTTTTGAATCTTCTGAAAAAAATAGCCTATACTATCAAAACTTCGGCAAATTGATAATCTGAAAAAAAATATAAATCTGATCAAGGAATGCTTTTCACCAATAATTTTGATTTTAATCCCTTTTTATGTACATTTTTCAACATTTCAAAATGAAAAGTCAATTTGAACTAAAAAATGAAACTTCACATTTAGAAATTTTGAGACACAATATTTCAATAATTTGAATTTTTTTCCATAACATATTTCTAATAAGAATTTTCAAGACCAATACTTTTTCACAAACAGTGCTACTCTTCTTAACTTATATTTCAAGTAAAACATTTCATTGAAAAATTCCAGATCAAGTTCAATGGCAATATACGCTCACCTTGCTTGCTGTTGCTCTTTGGCTTTTATAAGCATTATTGCTCCTGTTGTTTATCCCTAATAATACTGGGAAAAAAATGTACTTTACCTATTTGGTGGAATACATAAACTTAAATCTTTGGAATTTCTCTGCCATGGGAATAGTTAAATTACAAATATGGTTATTGTTGCTGGTATGTTATTGACTGTTTTCATAAAAATTATGCTTACGTATCTTGAGTGTATCTGCAGCAGCTAGAAATTTTAAAAGACACAAGAGAATCTTGATTCCCTTATTTTTTTTATGCAAGAGTGAGTCTCATTTAAGAAACCTGCAATATATGAAATCTTCAAGTTAACTCACATATGTGGGGCTCCACAACTGCTGTTTTCCTTGAAAAGTGTACACTTCTAGGCATGACTTTGTCTTAGGATTTATCACAGTTTCTCTACCTAATTTAATCTATGGATAACCCATGCCTGTCTCATGTATATTCTTCCCAGCTTCTAAACAAAGGACTAATACCTTCCACCTATTACCTTTTTGTACTTTTTTGCTTCACCTGATTTCTCTTCTAAACCAAATTCAGACATAAAGAAGGGGATTACTCTCTTCTAGACAGCAAGCAGAAGTATGCTTTATCCAAGTTTGTTGTTCTTATTCATAGGCTGTTACCTACTTGTATTTAAACATCACTTTTCTGTTTTACCTTATATTAACTTCTGCTTCAAAATCTCTCCTAAGACTCCAAACCCTTAAAATGCAGTAAGAATCTTCAGGTAACAGTGGATATTCTGTAAAGGTTGCTTTTTCAGGCTCTGCTACTTTTTGAGCAATGGTTAAAATGTTACAGGAGGATAGTGAGACTTCTATTTCTTCCTCAAGTTTTTCTTATTAAATTATATATACATATGTATGCTGGACACATTCTTCATACAAATATAGGGGGGCAAAGGCAGGCTGCCTAACATATTTTAGTGAGATACTAAGTTTAAAAGAAAGCTTTCAATAGAATGGAAAGCCAGAGATTTAATGGCAAATGTGTAACTTCATGGAGACATATAGTTGTATTTTAGTTCAATGAATAATGGCTAATAAAACCATAATTTTATGGAATTGATATTTTCAATATATACTGAAACAAAAATATAAATTTTTATCATTTTTCTTTTGAAGCTCAAAATTTAGGAAATGTTAGGTTAAAACCATAAAAATAATGAATCAGTTATGCCATCAATCATAAAGCTAAAGAATTTTAAGCTATTCTTTTTCATGTGCAAAACACAGTTTTCATTTCCATGTATGGCATAAGTTGAAGCTTCTATAAAAATATTTATAGTAAAATACAGCATAAATCTATAATTACATTTAATCGGTATTAGAAAGATGCATCCAGTACTTAGACACTGTGAAATTATTTAGAATCAGTCAAGTTTATATCAGTTACTGCTGAAGCAGCAAACGTATGATGTAATAATCTTTTGTGAGCTGAATGACGTATGTTCTCTTATCTACACAAAGCCCTGTAAATAACCTACAAGTTGTTAGTCATTACTTAACTCAGCATCCAAAATGCTCTTTTTAGCTCTTCCATATTAACGCATTATGCACAGAGTACTTCAGATAACCATGAGCAACCAGATGCATTTAAAGCAATGTAAGGAAGTGTTACAGAAAATAATTCATACTTCCCATGTAAAAACCTTCTTAGAATTCCCTCCACTGAATGTACAAAGCCCTCTGGAGGAATTCGAAAGTCTTTAGTTGATTGTCTTGGAACAGATCAGCGAAGAAGAATTCAGTATCTAACATAAGGTGCTCCCTGGGCCATGGGTATAGTAAAGCATCATGCAAGATATGAAGTCCACTATAATTTTCATCTTTCGTCTTTCAGTTAGCTGTCACATTGGCTTCCTTCTGACGTAGTCTTTCTTTCTGTTAAAGAAAAAGAAAGAGTTCTATTATCATTCCTGTTTATCATTTTCCACCTCCTTTCAAGTTGCCATGAGCATTTGGTCTAGAAGGCTGAGAAGTACTAAATAAATCACAGTAGATTTGAGTTTTAATTAAAAAGATTAATGCCTGGAGCACTAAAGGAAGGCTCAGAACCAGTTCGTTACTTACTGTGGAAAAACCGAGCTTGCTTTAGGTACACACTTGTCAAATACTATGTTCCTTTAAAAATACGCAGCTCTGTGAAGACCAGTGCAGCGAGGGAAAACCAGACACATTTCAAGTTCGTGTGCTGACATAAAGCCTCCAATTAAAGCATTATCTAGATTCTGTTGTTTAATGACCTCTTCCCAAGCAAGTGTAGTCACGCATATCTTTGCTGCCTGTCCTGCAACTGATACGCTCTGCTGGGAATGGAAATAATATACTGATTCCTCCATGTACATTTCCTTCCCTTAGACCCTTGCTTCCTAAAGATAGAGAAATGCTGATGTAACCTGTGAGCCTTGAACATAGACAAAGGTTTTAGCTACAGTGCAAATTACTAGTCCTCTTTTTGTGTATATCAAGGAAAAAAAAATAAAGAGGATACAGCAAGGAACAAAATGGGGACTTAATACCTTCCACAATTATTCAATAGAGCAAACAAGATTTTGTAAGGCTTTGAAAAAAACCAAACACTTATCCTTTGGACAAGTATATGTAGTGAGCCTCAGTGCACTACAGAGCATGAAAGAAAATACAATAGACTTCAATGGAACGAGGGAAGAAACCAGAAAAGCAGCTCTTATCATGTTTTTTAGTTTAAAATAGCAGAGCCATGCTTAGGCACAACTAAAGTAAGTTTTAAACTTAAATGCTGGATTACCACAGGGCATAAGCTTAGAGATTTCTCACTGGGGAGAAAATCACTCTGCTACATTCAAAGTAAGCATACTACATCACCCATCAACAACAGCAGAAGCTTGCCACCATTCTGAATGACAAGAATGGGTGTCACAAACCCCATTCTGAATGTCATATTGAGGAACACATCGTACCAGGCTAGCTGTAGGATTGATTTTCTTTGTTTCAACTTTCTTCTCCGCAGTTAACTTGCTTACTGATTGCTGAGCCACTTTAATTCTGAAACAAAATACATAGAAAACATGTTGTCAGATTCAAAGAAATTGGAGGCGTTCTGGCTCTGCCTGGTATATACTCTGTAAGAACTAAGACTTTTAGGCACATTAGCTGAACAAACTGCTATTACTGTTCAAAGATACTTAATAAAGTACCAGAAGTAGATCAAAGTACATTTTTAAACAGAGAAAGGCAAAAGCAAAAGGATGGTCTGCCTGTATTGCTCACTGAAAATGTCATCAAGCAAACAATTTCTCTGTTCTTGCAGGATCTGGGCTTTATGGAGTATCTGGGTTTTATGGAGTATCTTTCCCACCAAAAAAAGCTACAGTATCAAGGCAAGCAGATACTTCTCTGAAAAAAATAAACCCAAAAACTAGCTTACTCAATCTGTTGTATATACAGAATATACTATTTTAGTAGGCTGTTTGCCAGGCTACATCTTATAATTCCTCTGAAAACCTCAAAATGAAAGCATCTATCAGTTTTTCCTTAATGTTTTCCCTGTTGTTTTACATGGAATTGACTGACCAGCCTCACTGATGTGGCAATAGAAGAAGCAGCAAATTAGAGGGGTTTCTTTTCTAGGAGTAGTTAAACCAGTCTTGACTGCAGATACAGTCCAGTCTACCAACAGCACTACTGAGATAAGGGGAAGGAAAAACACAGATCTGGTTCCTCTGTTTCTTGCCTTTTGCTCTTAGGGTGTTGCATACAGAACCCTTGCTCCTGTGGGGATTTTACAAGAAGAACCCAATCAGAAATTTAATCAGGAGGAAAAAGAGAAACAGAATTTAACTAAAAGGGACTTGACTCTCCTCTTATAGACAGTGGAAAGGGCAGGGAAAATGATGTGCTAAACAGTGGTAAAAAAAGGAAGAGCATTCTTGGCACTCCTAAGACAGGATCTGCCCAGCTATCAGTGGCTTTAAAATGCTGATGCTACAAACACCTACTTTACAATTCTATATGCAAAATGCAGTGGGAAAGGAGTTGCAAGTGAATTTTTACAAGCAAGGAGAACTCAACAAACCAATTTCACTAATGCACACTAAATCATTCTTTTACTAGAAAAAAAACAAATTTCTTGGCACTCTTGAGTTGAAAAATTCTACTTTCTTCTCCTATTTAATTTTTTCCACTGGCAGAAATAATTGCTATGGCTAGTCACAAAGTATTTAAAATACCATGTCCAGTTCAAACCACTTTCGACACACTCAATTTTTGAGGAATTTTGGGAGAAAAGCAAAAAGGGAAGTGGATTTGCGCTGCAATCACTGATGTGTACTTCCTTGCTGTAACACTAGCAGCAAACTAGATTCTTTTAAAAATATAGAACACATTCATAAGTTCATTATTGTGTTTATCAGTGCTCAGCACTGGAAACTAAAATTCCTTCTCAAAGCTATGTATGAAATGGGTAGCATTGGTGTCTCACTTCCCAGTGCTTATGAAGGAGGAAACAGTTACATTACTTTGAAGTAAACTTACTTTCAACACTGCTTAGCTAAAACATTGATTCAAACTGTAAGTACACAAATATGAAATTATGATTCTGTACATTTTTAAAATATATCCAAAGTTTTTTTAAAACTTAGTGTTCCCTGTTTCTACACGTAAACAACTAAGTGGCAACACACCATTTCATCTTTTTACAATTTTGCTAATCACCACAGTTTACTTCTTAATGATGGATGATAGCACCCTCTGGACAGCATGCTATTCCTCACAGCTGCAAAGTTTATGCAGAGATGATGATGTATTTCAAGTGACAGTATTCAAGTTCAGCAGAATCACACCAAGGGATCAACTTCTAAACTTTTCCCTTTTTTGAGCACATTTTCTTTTCAATCACATTCTCTTTGGGACTAGGAGTGTTTTCCAAATAGTTTTTAAATGTTCAGAGTCTGTATTTTCATCTGAAGAGAGAATTCTAGGGATTGTAAACTTTTAGACTTAGAAAGAAAATTTTGCCTGTCACTTATTTAGGCCTAGCTGTGTGTATTTTATTCTATACTTGCACAATATCTGGGAAACTATTTTTTAAAATGGAATGCATAGTCTGGAATACAAAACAGAAATAAACCAGCTCACTAACATGATTTGAATCATGTGATACTTGACTTATAAAAATAGCAGGCTTTTTTTCCTCCCACGTAAAAAAGCCATCACTTTGCTAACATAAGGTTAGCAGGCATTATCAGAAACATAAGTGCATAATTTAAAAGGAATGTAATTCTTTGGGATTATTTAAAATCAGATGGCTCAATTTTAAGAAAGTAGTTAGCTCAGTCATTACATCAGTAAAGCACCTGTGCTGTAATGGTGCCTTATAAATAAAAATAATTCTTTGTTAAACACGGACAGGGGACTAGAACTGGCTACTGCATTCAGAATTGCTATCCTTGGAATAAGGAAACAAAATAGTTTGAACACTAGCAAATTTTTTTCTTCCTATATCAGTATAAAATAGCATGAATGGACACACTAGTCTAACCATGTTTTAGAGATGCAACAGAAGAGAACGTGGGACTGAAACTAACAGATGTGAAATCAAGGAGGAGGAAAGGGAAACGAATGTCAACAGAAGTATACCTAAAACAGGAAAGCAAAAGGGGATACAAGTGTGTAGTAACACATGCTAGGAAAATACTGACAAGGACACTTTAGAACAGAGCGCACTGCAGAGGACAGAGACCAGAAAGGATGGTATAATAGCTGAATGACAACTCAGAAGTAGAAGATATGCAGGTGCTAACTTAGCAAGCAATAACATGAGGCCAAAAATTAAGGAATGCAGGTTAGTTATGCCTTGAAATCTGACCAGCTGCTGCATGTGTTCAAACCAAAAGTTGCTCTCCTTCAACAGTGAGCAAAAGAGGTCAATATCCCTTAATGAATAAAGATGTGGTGTCAACTGTAATACTGAGCTGTATTGCATATTACCACATAATATGGAAAACAAAATTGAATGAAATTGTCAAAACAATGTATTTTTAAATAGGAGAACCATGGCCCCAGTACTGCATATGGATCTTTACAATAAGCAATGGGAATATAATTGTTTTTTTCCTGCCTCTATGTGGCAGGTGTTGTCTTGCCCTATAAATTGGATGCAAGTCAGGCCTTGTAAATTAGAAGATATTAGTGAAAAATAATGATATTTTTTATTCAAATTTATTATTTTTATTTTGTATCTAGGTACACAGAAACTAAATCTAAACATAAGCCTGCATTTATTCGAAGTTTCCTTCATGAAAATACTTTTTGTCCTTACAGGAAAGATACTATATTATCAATCCAGGGACTAACCAGATAAAGTCATTATTTTCACCCCTGCTTCCCATTCAGCTCAGACAGAAGGTCTGAGCTGGTACAAGCCATGTTCTAAAGCCCCCAGTCAGGAAAAGCAGAATCCCTTCTAAACAACCCAGTTGCTACTTCTAAACAACCCAGTTCAGGCTCTGCTGTTGTGCAAAGACAGAGATCAAATATCTGGTTCTTTCTCAACCTCTTGATATTCTGGAATAATCCACTCAGTCCATCTGAGCTGGCCACCAGAAGATACCTAGGGGAATATAAGGACAGCCAAAGCCTACAGTGATAATTCCCAGAGTACCTTCACAGCTAGAAACTCTCTTCATATGTAACAGTCCTTCATGGACTTTTCTAATATGAATTTGTACTGTGACCATTTTTATATGACCATGAACCATGAGCCTCCAGCCTGGTAACACTGTAGGGCTCATTGATCAAATTTTCTCACAAATATATTGCCTTTTTCCAATGCTACAACTGTGAGCACAAGGAACTCCTAGCACAGATCTACAAAGTTACATTATGACCTTTATGATCATGTTTCAAATATTTTCTTAAAACTCACTTATGCTGTGATTTCAGTTTGCGTTATTAGATCACTAGTTTAACATCAAAAGAAATAAACAATGTCTGTTACATTCAACGTTTGGCTTTAATACAGGCAGATTTTATACCTGGATGATGTCCTATTTTGTGGTGTTTGACTAATGCTCAGGACATTGTTCTACCACAGTACATATTGATCAAACTGGCTGCAAATCAAAGACTTTTACTGACTCTCATTGTCTTAGGTAACATATAGATGACGCACAATAGATGTAAGTGAAATGAACTATTTAAATGAAACTATAAACCAAAATCTAGTCTTTTAAAAGAGATATATCTTGAACCAAAGATTATTTCTCCTCCTTGCTCACTGTGATATTGAAAATGAAAATATAATCCTCTGGTTGCTCTATGGCAAGTGTTTTTGTCAAATTTCTGTAATTTGTTAGGCAAAGATATTCTCATAATTAGCTTAATCAATGGTTAGAAATATTAAATATTGTATTGGCCAGCACTGCTAAGAAATTCTGCAATTTACATGTTATCTCTTATCACAATGTGGTGTTACAAACAAGAGCTCCCCAGACTTAGTCTTTTCCTGTGCAGAAATGGAATGCAATGAATACAATTCATTCTGTATTTAATAAATGGAAGAGTTGGGTAGAAAGCTATAGCCACCTTCAATTTACTACAATAAACAAAAATTAGTTGAGGACAGCTCTGTGCTTTTTCTTTTTTTAGGACATTTTCATCTTCACCATTAGCTACCTACACTGCTACAATTAGAGCTTCTACTTGTCAAAATTGTTACTGCATTTGTAGCAAAAAAAATCACGATGTCTTTTTCACTAGGTCAAGGTGAAACTATCAATATGTTTTGTGCTAGAGATGAAATTCCAGAACAAAAAAAAAATTTTAAACAAGAAGCTTTTATAAAAAGTACCATTAAAAAATAGGACTTTTCTCCTATTTTTAAGATGAAGTATGCAATTCTGTTTGTTAAATAATGATTACATCTTCTCCAGCTTTTGAGAGAAACTTCAGTTTTCTTTTTCTGTTCTAAATTCTGACCTATAAAATTTGTATGCATTTCAATCTGAAAGAAATGGCTTAATCCAATAAGGTAACTATTGCAGTGACCTTATCTTTGCAGAGTAAGCAGTGGGTCAAATTAACAGCAATAATCCCTTTTTATATCTAATTATTTTGTACGACAAGGCTAACACTGATAAACAGATAATGATAATCTTTTTGTCACATTTCTTTTGCAAAACATACAATCACAGTTTGTGATGAAACTCCTCACTGCAAACTATTAGTATTTTTTCTTCATTTATACTTTTTCCCTATATTCAGACTTGGCTAGGATATCCTCCTAAAATATACTTTAACAGATCTTGAATCCTTTAACGGACTTACAGAGAGGCACTTATATATATAGTTATAAATACATATTTATTTTTATTATAAATTCATAGACATACCCATGCAATCTACCACAGTATAAGTCCCTTGTTGCCAAATTAAAAACAACCCATGTTTGGTTTAGTCTTCAATTCAGTTATTGCATCAATATCTTATAGACAGAAGGAAGTAGAAAAGCAGTTATGTACCTGGATGCACAGACATACTGAATTATAAAGCTGTAAAGAACAAAACTGGGGTTTGATGCAAAACAAACCAAAAACACGTCTCCAACATTTGGTATTACAGTGCATTTCCATTAAGATGCTTGTCAGAGATGAAGAGGTGATCATCAAAGCAAATTTCATTGTATTGTAGTTGCATTCTAATATTGAAGGAAATACTAAGCCTGAAAGAAAACTGTCATCAGTGAATGACAGACATCAAGAAAACGACATCAAGAAAACCCTTCAGGAATATGATATTGAAAATTTTCTTCATTTTATGTCTATACTAATGTATATATCATATTACGTATCGTATCATATCATATCTAGTTTTGTATCTATCTGTAGCTGTCTTGCATTTCTAATTGGTGTGCAAATTTTGTCCAGGAAAGAGACAATGCCCCAACTATATTTTGCAGGCAGCTAATTTATTTTCACAGTAGGTTAAATGCAGGGCAGCTCAGTTAAAGTCTTTCCTTTATTTTAAGAAAAAGGCTCATAGAAGTCTAATTAGATTTCTACAGTTGTGTTACATTTGGGAGCCAAGTAGTTTTTAGACAAAACAGGCTCTTGCACCTGAGGCTGTCATTTAGTTCAAGGCAGTATTTTTTTTTCTGAAATTCAGAGTTTTTAAACTTGTCTGTTACACAACACAAAGTAGTTAGTTTTTAGTATAATTATTTTTAGTTTGGAATCTTATTTTGACCTCTTTCTAGTACTATTAGTTTTAAACTAATAAATTTTTAATTATACCTTTGCATAATGATAATTCTGAATATTATAATTAAATTTTGAATTTTCACAGCCATGTTTCTTGAGAGACAAATTATAATCCAATATTAACAGTCCTATATGAATGTAAACAAATCCATTTTTAGCTAACTATGGGACTAATTCAAACACGTTTTACACTGAATTGCTGCATTTCCTTCTGAAATTTGCAGGTAATCCAGTTGTAAAAACGTTCACATAAGGATATCAATACCTCAGTTTCAAAACCCAAGTTTGAAAATATTGACTTACGTAGTCAATTCTTCCTCTTTATTCCTTCAAAACAAAATAATTGGTTCATGATAAACAGATTTTTTTTATTGAATGATAATCTTTAAAAATGCAAAACAAATAGTGCATCCAATTAATTAGCAGTTAAGGAAGACCGCTGTCCATTCCTGTCATTCTAAGGTTTTTAGTTGCCAATGTGAACAGTGATTCTAAGTTTGCTTTCAAATGTTTTTGGACAGCAGCTCATCAACTGCTAGTCTCATACTTTGTAAAACAGAACCTTGGAAGTCGTCATGACTTTACAGACCATTTTCAGCTGATGAAAACAGCTTTTCCATCATTCTAATGTACTGATTTCATGATTTTCTTCTTTTCAGTAGCACTTTACGAGACAGTTCAGGATGATGAAAACTGTTCTTCTGACATTCTAATTTACTTATTATGCAAGACTCCTTATTTCAGCAGCTCATTGTCTTGATGAATAACCCAAATTCTGAATGCAAAGAAGGATGAATTGTTCTTGTGAGACTAATGAAACTTTGTAAAAATAATTTGAAGTGAACTCTGACAATATATACAGTAACTGCTGCTCTTCATTCTACTGGTATTGCTTTACACTTATGAATAGGGATAAAGGTATTCATCAAAGCAGCTGATAAATTATTACTGCTGTATTTTTATTTGTAGATTTTATTTATATAAAGATTAAACTATGAGAAATTCTCATCTCACCCACGTAGGAAGGCAAAGAATATAGCAGTTTACTTACAAAGATTTCTTGCATATTATATTAAGAAAGTTATGAAGTTATGTAGTGTTAAACATGTACAAGGCATTTTAAATTAATTTCTTTGAAGGGATCATTGTATGCCATTAGTAAGGTGCTAATTACATAAAAAGGAGTGGATGTATAGTCCGGATATCTTTGTTTTCCCTTGTGTACTTAATTTCTATTATTCCTAACTGGTTTTGGTACAAAACAAAGTTATGATTCAGCAGAAAATAAATTCTTGAGATGATCCTTATTATGATTATAGCTACTTGTGACTGTTTATACAGATTTTAACGTGTAAACCAAAGTTGCATATTGATTTAGACACAAGGAAATAAAAGATTCTTTCTAAGTTTTGCAGTTGTCAGCTTTTAAAATCAATCTAATCATTATATAGACCATACAAAAGGCTACAGTTTTCAAGAGTTTAAGACCTGTAATATCAGTAAAACAATATAAATAATTGTGAATTTATAATTTCTAGATCTTGTCATTTAAAAATCTACTTCTCTATGAACCTAAAAGCCCCACTGATTTGGAGAAATATGGAAAATGTAAGTGTATTAGTTTACTACTTTTGCAGATACTATTTAACACATTGTTTTCTAAATCTGTGTCAATTCAAAATAAGCATCTGGATTTCTATTTCATGCTGAAAATGATTAATCCATTCTCTTCCAAAACATGACCACACTAGCACTCTTTAGGTCTTTTCAAATTAATTGAGATATGGTAAGCATGGTGCACTTGTAGTGGAATTGGTTTGATTTGTTGTTTTTTTTTTGTGAAAGATTTTAAGCTTTTTTAAGAAGATCACAAAAATAATTGAAGGTTTTCAAATTTTTTTTTTTTTTTACTCTAACTAATAAAATCAGGAGACTGTGGTGAGATCTAGCGGCAAGTAGTTTGATGTCCTCAGCAGGACACCAAAAGTCAGAAGTAGTGCTGTAAATTCAGTGTAGGGCTTCAACACTGTGCTAAGTGTGGCCTGAATCTCTGGGGCTTCCCTTTGATGCAAGTGCAGTATATTAACTGGAAAAGCATTCACTTTTATTTGTCTGTACTGTCTGCGACAGCAATATCGCCTCATTTAGGCTAGTTCAACATGAAAATGCACAGAGAGCAATCTGTTACAAATTAGCACAGCTCTCCTTTCATTTTACTAGCTAGTAATTGGAAGGGGTTACAAAAGTGTAATTTATCAGATTATATGTGTTTATCTTTTTGTGGGGACAGCATGCCTTTGGTGAATTTTCCTACGTACCCTGAGGGAATAATCTTTCCTTGATGTCCATTAGATCTGAAAGAAAACAATGACGCCTGTGAAATATAGGAGTATAATTTGTTGGGTTTGAGAAGGAACAGTTTCCCAGGCATCTAAAATGGTATTAATGACTTTATTAGAACCTTACCGTTCCTTGGAAATGCTTTTGCTCTCTCGTTTCCAAATGGTCTTGAAGTCACTGCAGAATTCATACCACATCGTGAAAACGTAGTTTGGTGTGATCTCCTTCTCACCAGGCTTTGGCTTTATCCCAAAGTATCCCACTATTTCTTCAAAGCTACAAGGGAGGGGGAAAAAAAGCCCTGTCAACAGATAAGCCCACTGGGGAAACAGCCTCTCTGAGGGCTGGCTCCTGATTCAGTAGTCAAGGCAGGTAATTACTATAACTTCCCCTTAGCCTTGGAAATCATAGCAGCAATCGTGATGAGTATAACTAACCTTCCAACACCTACTTCATTCCCAGGAGGGTAACTTAAAGATGCATGAGCCATCATAGAGATTATGTCACACAGGCGAATCATGGGCATTCAATTTTAATGAGAAAAAATTAACTTCTTGCATTGAGGAGATGCTATATTATATCTATTTCTAATTTTATTCTGCAACAGTCCATGAAGATCTTATTCTCCCATTTATCTTTACTGAAGGACTATGGAAGAGTCACATGCCAAGCCAGGAAAAAATCTCCAGGCTTGGTAAAAAATAAACTTTAAGTACTTACAGAGAACTGGGAGTAGCAACAAAAAACCCCACTGATAGTGCAGTAGTCAGTTTGCAAAGTTTTTACTGAAAATAAATAATCTCCTTCAACATGTGTCAATAAGCAGATAATTTTATGAAAATACATTGCCAGTATTTTAATGCTTTTTTTATTTCATAATGTGGCCACCGAATTGCTGTACAGCTGGATATTTTCAAAGCAATCTTTTATTACAGGTGATACTTCTAATAGCATTTTTACTGATTGTGCATTTTTAAGCTTAATGATATGGATTTGTATAAATAGAAATGAATGATTCACATGACTAGGTACTTATTGAAACAAACCAAAAGTACATTAACTTTTGTGAAGGTTGAATCACTTTTCTCTGCAAAGTAGATGTAACAATCCTGAAAGATTTATTGATAAAAGTCATTAAAAATATTATTTATTGATAAAATTTATTAAAAACAATGCTATAATTTAAAAAGAAAGGGAACAATCTATTTCAAAATAACTTAAAAAATATTTATTTTATTTACGCAAAATAAATTTATATTCTTCTTTACAGTTGCCAATAGGTTCTAAATCTAGACCACAGGCAGTGTAAATCTTGAAAATAGAATAAATAAGAGGTATTTTAAAGACTTTTAAGTAGTCCCAACTATTCGACAGATGTTACTTAAACAACAGATGCAGCTGCAGCAAATGTTTCTTTCTTCATTTCTACTTGCATTTGCATGGTACACATTGCATGTTTTCATACAGAATTGCCAAAGTTATGGGCGAGTTTTTTTGCCTTAGGTTGAGATTCAAGCTTTTAGCTAGGCTTGAAGAATATAAGTAGCCACCAAAAAATACAGAAGAAATACCCCAAAATAATCAAGTACTTCACAAAGTAAAGAAGCTTGGGTTTTACCACACAACACAATATACTCAGGGGTTCTTGATACTTAAAAGATAGATACAACCCTAAAAATATTAAAATACTTTAGACATAATCACATGGTTAGAACAGTTCATATCCACTGAGCAATGTAATTTCTACTACATTCACTTAGGCCAAACATTCTTTGTCTATTCATACCTCTCGTCTAGGATAGTTGAGCCACTAACAGTAAGAACAGAAGCTCTCTTCTCAGATTTGCTTCATGTACCAGCAGCCCTGGTAACATTGTGCTCTCTTCTTCCTAAGAGAACCCTTTTCCATCCCAGCTGTAGCTGATAAAGTTGTCCCTGCATGCTCCAGGATTCTGAATTCCTGCACACTCTCACTCTGCCTTCATCCTAATATTTAACTCCTCATCCCCTCTTCATGTTTCATCTTCAGCCCTTCCCTCAGTAGCACTGTTTTGTTTTCAACCTGCTTAATCTGTCTTCCTGGGCTGCTTTCTGACTTTCAAAAGTCACGAATATTTTTAGCAATAATTTAAAATACTGAAAGTTTAGTTAGTAATTGAAAAATCCAAACTCCATTTCAGACAATTAATTCCTTAAGTCAACTGTAAATTAAGTGTATCTCCATACCTTGGAGAGTCTACTCTGCTCCAGAAAGGCTACATAGCAGGTAGGATATAAAAGAGCCTGGATATAAAAGAGCCTGTGCCACAAAAGGTAGGCTTTGAGCTAGGTAGAAAGGAAACAAGCTAGGCAGCCACCCTTGACAAATGAAATGAAGAGGTAAAGCCCCAGCTCATGTCAGTGAAGAGTTCAGCCAATTTAGGCACCTTCTGCAAGCAAATGGCAACATTTCACCTAAGACTTGACCTGCATTTGGGAGGTGCCTATCTCTCCTTTCCTGATTGTCCAGGAAGACTAACCTAGGTGTCTCAATCAGATGGAGTGACTCTGGGCTTAGAAGAGTAACATCAAAACCCAGATTACCACAGATTTGCCTTTAGCAATCATAAAGACAAAATATTGATAAGAAGTTAACAATTAATTTACCCTGGTTGATTTACAGTAACTCCATAGCTAACACAAACAATGTTTAAGGCAGATCCTTCACTCTCACAAAACTGTAATTTGGTAAACAAAATTATTAGAAACACTAACTTACTAAATATAATGTTACTATTTATCTAGATTTATCTAGAAATCCATTTATCTCACTTTTCCCCATTTTTTGACTCCTTTCACCTAAATAAGACACAGATATTCAGGCAATAAAGCATTAGGATTTCACCAGTTCCTCAGTATATTGCATTCAATAGCCTAAATTGCTGAAAATGTTCAGTGACAATGGAACACATTTTTACTACATTAAGTAGCTAATCAGATATTACTATATTCTGTTAAAACTGTGATTCAGTTCATTGTTGACAGTAATTAAAACCTCAAACTTAGTACACTCTTTGGCTAGAAAAATCAACTGAACTTTTTCCTGGAAGACTATATCAGAATTTTTCAGAAGGCATATTACTTCTTTGAAGTACAGATCCTTTTTCATATTTAATGCAATCCCTAAGATCAATAATGTCTTTGACCAAAATAAACTGTTAGAAAGCACTAGCAAAAACCTTACCATTTTTGCGCATTTTCCAAACTACTCTCCTCTTTTTTACGTTCTTCTTTAGCTGCCAATGAAAAACATTTCAAAGATATACATTACCGACTTACTGTTTTAGAGATTCCACAGATTAAACATCTCTTACATTTAAAACTGAATAGGCTGTATATTAAATATAATAAATATGATAAAGATTTGCTAATTTTCAATTTTTATTTATTTCTTGTATATAAATGAAATGCTTCTATCACACCAATAAAGTGTATTGGATTTGAAAAGTCATTTAAGATCCATACTACAAAATATAGTTGTAGAAATTAATCTGAATAAAAAGCACATAACTAAACTTGGCTTTCAGATTTTTTAAAAAAGAACATTAATTTGGGTATGTTTATTTCTTGTTGCAGACCAGAACTTACAAATTTAAACCTGCTTTTGCAGAACAAATAATTGGAAGTACAATTGGAATTGAACAGGTACCAAACACAGTTAACACCAACTGTTCCATATAGCTATCACATTTTGTTCAGGAAGCTGGAAAGTGAAAACACATGTACTAAGTTTTAAGTGTATGGTATGTACATGATTTTTTCAAAAAGTAGTCAAGAGTTTGAAATATGATTAGTCAATCTGAGCCCCTCTGTTACGGAATCCTCACACAAAATACTTAAAAGGATTTGATTTTCAAAGAACGGGCATTTCTACTTTTGAAAATGTTTCCTGAGCTGGGTACTTAAGCAAAAGCATTATTTTTTCTTAAATTGTTGATCAATTCTAGTTAATACAGTGGAGCAACTTCAGCTGCGGCAGAATACCACATAAGTAAAACAATACTAACACAGAAAAGTTATTCATACCCCACGTCAGAATAATCCTGTAAGCACAAATGTTAATATAAACAGAATTTAGACACTTCTTTACACAAAGATAAAGAACTGTATCTTTTTGCTGCCCCATCTATAAGAGTGCATTGGCTGGTTGAAATACAGTTACAAACTGGAGTTCACAGACAAGGCCACTGAGAAATTTATCCTGAAAGATTCCATTTTGTTACAAGGTTACAGACACAGAGGTTTGTCCTGACAGTTAAAATAATTTAAAAACTGGATTACTTCAGTATATTTGCTGTTAACAAAACAAATTAATTTCAACTCCTATGTTTACCTATATTGAGCAAGAGTGTTGGAGATACTTATTCAGGTTATTTCAGCATGGCAAAAGCTAGAAACAACATTGAGAGTCCTTTGCAAAGAAAATTATTAATTCTACACCATTAAATTCTCCGCCTAAAATCTTGGTGCCAAGACAGCTATAATTGACATAGATAAGGCAGCTCTGATGACCTGCTTTCATCTTAGGCTCCTGAGAAATTCAGCTAATGTTAGCCTACTGTACTCAATTTATTATTTCACAGCCCTTTCATTTTATATCATTAAAAGTAAAAAAATTAGGTTGGAATTCTGATGGTTCATCATGACACAAAATTAACCTCATACAGAAAAACAAAGATGGTTAAAAGCTGAACTGTGTATAAAACTTTATGATTACATTAATAATTCATTTCTGGTTAAGGAGATGAAAAATTGTTAGGTAAGGCAAATTTCCCAGCATTCACAGCTACAACAGAAACTGAATATCCTCAGGCCCCTGCACATGAACAAGAACACAATAACTAACAAGGACTTAATGTATGCTTATACATTTATAGTTAGAAGGTAAAACCTGACTTACTGGTTTTTAATCTTGTAAGAACAAAATAAGGTAAGATAGAGGAAAGAGACTTTTAATTTGTTATAGAAAGTAGAAAAAAGGCATGACTTCTACAAAGGAACACACAAAGTATACATTAATATAACTGTGTGTGTGTTTGTACACCAACATAAGGGAAAAAAGGAAGGAAGAAAATAACAGTATTTTCCATATTTTTAACTGTAAAAGTCTATGAAGGAACTACATAAAGCATTTATTTGAAATGTAGACATTGAGAGTTGTTAAGAAAACAAATCAACAACTCTATGCAACAAATTCTAAGTAAATAGGAGTTACCAATACTACATAATGTTCAAGACAAGAAACCAGAGCAATTCTCTAATCTTCCATACAATTTCTAAGTAATCTTCCACTCAGAATCCTCCTCTTTTTCTCTCCTCACAACCTGCAGTGACTAACACTATCAATGCTCTTAGTAAAGGTTTCCATGAAACTGTGGTTTTCCTCAACAGTCCTCAAAGCCCCATTGTCAAAATATTAATCCTCATCTTAATTCATGGAATTACTGCAGGCAATTAAAATGAACTACGTAAATTAAAGAACTTCTGCCTTTATATTTCTTTGGTAACACCATTTTTACTTGCATAGAATTCCCTTTTTGCTGAAGTGGGATCATGTAATTCTTTCATGTGTGACCACATGCTTGATTTCGGTTTCCTCTGTTTCCTTAAATTAAGAATGTAATAACAGCCATATCAGATTGGCATAGGGGTTCATCTAGCCTAATATCCTCCCTCTGGCAGACACTGAAGCAGGTACTCAGTTAGAGTTAAGGACCAGGAGAAACACATGATCCTTCCCCTGAGTATTTCTCTGCCTCTGTAGTTCTTACAAACTGCTTCCTGCACTGGATGTCATTTCAATGTAATTCTCAATGGATTCTCTCCCAAGAACTTGCTCATTCTCTACTTAGGCTTTTATGAGCTTTTTAGCTTCCACAGACTGTTGTGGCAAGTGTTCTATAGCCTAACTATATCTAGCACATGTTGTTTGTTTTGAAATGGACTCCTAATATCACTCTATTTTGCATATTGGAGAAAAGCATGACTGCAATCAACACTGAAATAGAGTGACTATTGGCTTTAGCTTTTTAATTAGGATGCCTCTGAAGCAAACTTCCTCACTGTCCCTATTTATTGAGCATTGATTTGGCTTGAAGCTAAGTTCTGGTGCTTGCAAACTGATTTCCATTAGGAGGAAACTAAACAGGAAGGTCCACAGCAAATGCACTCCACTACTTAATAGGAACAAAAGGACAAAAATAATGCTTAAGCCTTCAGACAGCTTTGAAGCACATGAGGTGGACATGTTCACCTCAGATTAAATCTAACTCAAAGTTACATCTCTACTGTAAACACACTGGCCTCAGCCTCCGCTGCTCAATCTGCTGATTCAATCCTACTGCACCAAATTATTTCATAATGTAGCCGTAGGTATTCTACATTACATGCATCCAGATTAAACAGAGGTCCTTCAAAATGACGTCCCATAAGCTGCATTTGATATGGAGACACCCTTGTCTGTTGTTGGAGTCATTAGGCTTAACCAGCTTTGAAAATGACAGGGAACTATGAAATGTAGAGTTTGCTGTCTGGTCTCAAGTCTAAATGAAAGTTCTTAATATGCTCTACTGTTTGGATTAGTTCAGGTCCTGTCCTATGTCAAGCAGACAGTCTTAATCAATGTATCTTCTTTGAATATAGATAAAAAGCCAGGATCAATTAAGAATTTCTGTGTCTTTCTACAGACAAGAGCTTTGAAAGGAAAAGAGGTATTTACAAAATATGCAGTTCTAATTTGCTCTAAGAATAGTCTTTTGCAGTACAAATAGCTACAAGCCCTGATGACCAGAACCTAGTCTTATTAATCTTTCTATCTGTACCTACCTTGAAGAATAAGAGAATAAATGGACTATGATCTTATGAATTTTCCTTAGGAACCTGAGATATTTCTGGTGACTTCCTTTTAGTGAAATGCAGAAACAAAGTGTTTGAAGAGTCATCATCCTATAATGATTCTGAGTGAAACAGTACTAGAGTGAAATGGTAATCCCTCTTGTCCTGGGTTCAGCTACAGCAGTCATTTTTTCTCCTTCTTAGTAGCTGGTGCAGTGCTGTGGTTTTGACTTTCAGCCTGGGAACAACGCTGATAACACCGATGTTTTTAGTTGTTGCTCAGTAATGTTTACTCTGACCAAGGACTTTCTCAGTCTCATGCTCTGCCAGGGAGGAGGGGAAGCCGGGAAGAAGCAGAGACAGGACACCTGACCCAAACTAGCCAAACCTGACCCAAACTATACCACAGAATGTCATGCCCAGTATATAAACTCGGGGGAGTTACCTGGAAGGCGAGATCACTGCTCAGGTCAGGCTGGGTACCAGTTTGTGGGTGGTGAGCAATTGTATTCTCTTCCTATATTTCCCTTGTCATTATCATTATTGGTGGTAGCAGTAGTGGTTTGTATTATACCTTAGTTACTGGAGTGCTCTTATCTTTTCCTGTAGGAGTTACATTCCTCTGATTCTGCTCCCCATCCCTCCGAGAGCGGGGAGAGGAAGAAAGCGGGGCAGTGAGTGAGAGGCTGCGTGGT